CTGGGATTGCTGATTACGATTTTGTTGTCATATTTTCAAAATTCAAAATGTCGGTTAAGAGTTTCAAACAAATCCAATCATTTTTTTTAAGTTGGTCGGCATTTTGGATCCACCATTTTGAATTTTGGAAATCTGACATCAGATTCGTAATCAGCACTCAGAAACCCGCTGGAAACGTGTTTTAACCCTTGACAATGTTTAAAACTTTCAGTATCAACGTTTTGATTTTAGTACTTTTTTTTTAATTTGATCGCCATTTTGGATCCGCCATTTTGAATTTAAAAAAATTGACTTCTGATTCGTAATCGGCGACCCCAAAAACTCTCGAGTGCCGGGTTTCGAATAAATCCAATCATTTAAAAAAAATGGACCGCCATTTTGGAATTTCGAAAAACTGACTTCAGATTCCTAATTAGCAACCCCATAAACCCCCTGGTAACAAGTTCCAACCCATGACAATGCGTAAATCGTTCAGTATCAACGTTTTAATTTTACTAGTGTCTTTTCGATAGCATATTTTCGGGAATTAAACCCATTCTAATTGTCCAATACAGGTGTGTAATTAAAGGAAAGTTCCCCAATAATACCAGAGTAATTATATGTAAAAAAAACAAATTTTTAGCTGCATTTTAACATGTCAAGAAAATAAAAAATTTTAACCTCTGCGTTTTTATAAAAAACCTCTAAGAAAACTTCTTTTTTTTTCAAAATAAAAAATACGTGTCTCTTTTTTATCACAAATAACCATATTTTGATGTAGCGATTATGAATTTCGAAAACGAGTGTTTTTATGAACCACTCTAATCTGCATATTTTATCAATTCGGCGGAATATTTTTTAATGTACGTTGCCGCATAACTTTGGACTACGTTACCCGTTTTCTATACTTATTTTTTNTGCATATTTTATCAATTCGTCGGAATATTTTTTTATGTATGTTGCCGCATAACTTTGGACTACGTTACCCGTTTTCTATAATTATTTTTTAAGGGAAAAGTGGCTCCTCATAGGTAGTCTGCTATTAATTGAGGGTAAATCCGATAATTGGGCCATGAAGAAATTAACGGTAGTCGTAAATTTGTATATGAGAATTGAAGTCGGTTTTGTTTTTTGTTTAAAATTTCCTCCAGTGTCCACAGCTTCTCTAAAAGAGTCATAGGCCATATTTTTTTTTTAGTTCAATTGTGGAACATTTCTATAACCAGCTTCGGCTAATACTTCGGCTTTGGGTGGCAACCCGACTCAAAAATATGTTCAGTAGTAAGCTTTCTTAAACCTTTTTAATTTGATAACCATATTGCAATATTTACTTCATCTTACCAATTTAATTTAATTAAATTTTGAAACAGGTGGCCTGTAAGCCTTCTTTCTTTTGACACCCATATTGTGATAATATCACAATTAATTAATTTATGTCATTAATTTATTTATACTGAAAGTTTTAAACAGGTGGCAACTCTCAATTTTTTCTAGTTTTAACCATCCGGATATTATAAAAAACAAACCACAAAAATAAAAATATTCAAATCGGTCAAGCCGTTTTCGAGTCTTAGCGAGACTAACGGACAGCAATTAATTTTTATACATAAGCAGGGAACGGATTTTTAAGACCTAAAAACCCATAAAAAAGGCAAAGTAAAGTAACGAAATAGGCTGGAAAAGGCAAAACAAAATAGCGAAAAAGGCAGGAAAAGGCACTAGGTATTGCAAAAAAGGCAAGAAAAGGCAAACAACATATGGAAAAAGGCAGGAAAAGGCAAAAAAAAGGTATTGCAAAAAAAGCAAAATAAGGCACTAAAAAAAGACAGAAAATACGAAGAACATTAAAAAAATATATTTATTTTAGAAATACTTATATTACAAGTAAAAAGAGAAAAACTATGAACTAGTTTCATTATATGAAAAAATTGTACTTTGAATCTTTGACTATTTTATCCTTTCGAGTTTCTAACTCATAAAAGTTTAATCTGTATAGTTGTAGTAACATTGAACCACAAGATGCATTTTGAAGTTTTCTGGCAGCATTTTCATTAGATTTTCGCGAAGAAAAGCCTCGAATGTACTAAATGTGCACTCGACGTAAGTTGATACAAGTGGAGCCCAATTTAAATATGGAACGTTTGAAACGTTCATATTATCAGAAATAACAGCGCTTTCCTCGCCCTTTACAATTTTATTTTATTATTTTTGAATTTTTTCAACACCAGTTTGGCAAGAGGTCCCTGTGCTTCTATAAGCCGCATGGACATGTGAATATTTTTTAATCTTAAAAAAAAAGTTGTAAATGCTATAATCACTTTTTTAAAGGTAGAAAAGGCAAAAAAAGGCAAATATCTTAAAAAAGGCAAAAAAAAGGCAAATATCTTAAAAAAGGCAAAAAAAGGCAACTTCAAATGTGTATATATGGAATCAGGGAAAGCTAAATCGTGGACATTGTTAATCGAATATACTCTATCTCTTTAGCAGAAAAAAAGGCAATTTCCATAAAATCCGTTCCCTGTACATAAGATCTGTGAAAAAACGTTTGCTATACAAACCACGTGAACCGTATTAAAGAAAAGACGGCTGTATGCTGCGAGTGTGAATTTATTACTAACTCAATTAAAACCACCAATTTAACAGGAAAGCTCTTAGCCTCTCTCAAAATAAAGTAATTAGTTACAGTTATTAATTGACATCCTCGGGCCCCACCATGACTGCTTGGATTTCTAGCGGGAATAAAAGCTGGATCGGCCTCCTAAGGACTTGCCGGTCCTGCAGCCTTACGTCGCAAGCTCGAATACGACCATCTCGACCCATATACACAGATATTACGACAGCTAGCTTCCATAACAGCCTCGACTGGTGATCGCTCTTAACCAAAACAACATCGCCTGCTTTTATGCTACGTGCCGGATTGGTTTTGTTGAAATGAATCGTGCGAAGTTGGCACAGATACTCGTTACGCCAACGTTTTAAATATCGCTTAAGTAATAACCTTCTTGTCTGCCACATTTTGTTGATCGAACCGCCATCTGAAGTAAAATTTTCGCCTCCCAGTATACCGCAGTCGCCCAAAAAATGCGCTGGGGTTAAAGGTTGTAAGTCGTTCGGGTCACCTGATACATACGTGAGTGGCCTTTGGTTTACCACGCTCTCTGCCTCCGTTACTAGGGTTGCCAAGTCAGAATAAGAAAGTTTGGCCTTACCAATAGCTGATTTTAGACAATCCTTTACCGTTTTCACCAATCTCTCCCAGAAGCCTCCCCACCATGCTGCTCGTTCCGGAATAAATTGCCATTTAATACCATGTTTCGCGGCGAGCCGCTGGACTTCATTTCGGCTCATCATACGTTCAAGCGTCTGCAACTCACGATCAGCTCTCTTAAACGTCTTGGCATTGTCCGATATAATGGTGGCTGGCACTCCTCGCCTAGCGATGAACCTGCGCAAGGAATTAATACAGCTATTCACAGTCATGTTATCCACCAGCTCTAAATGTACTGCTCGAACAGCGGCACAAGTAAAGAGCATTATGTAAACTTTTTTCAACGTATCTCTATTGTCGGCAGCCACATAGAGTGGACCAGCAAAGTCTAATCCCGTTGTCTCAAATGGCCTGCTCGTGGCAACCCGTTTCACTGGTAGAATGGCCCAAGGTTCTGATGCACTTTTTCCATGCAACCTTTTGCAAATAACGCAGCGTTGCAGGATGGATTTGATAAGCTGGCGGCCTTGTACGACCCAGAATCGCTTCCTTATCTTTGTTAACGTTGCGTTAACACCGCAGTGCATCATCCGCTGATGCGTATCCAGTATTATTAAACGAGTTAAGTGTGACTCCTTAGGCAGCAAGATCGGGTTACATAATTGGCCAAACTCTTCAGGTGGTAAACGCCCGGATAGGCGAAGGATTCCATCAACTAAAATAGGGTTAAGACTAATTATTTTTGAATGTGATGGCAGCTTTTGCCCTTTCAGCAAAGTCTGGAATTCATCTCCGTAGAACGATTGCTGCTCCATTTTGATCCAATATTTTTCAGCTTCCTGAAAATCTTCCGTGCCGATTTCGCAGGATCCGATAGCCTCTGTCCGCTCACTCTTAGTACGTTTTTCCATACTAAGTTTGATACGTTTAAGAAAAATAAAGATATACGCCGTGATACGTAGAACGCGCTGGAGAGAGCTGTAATCTTTTATCTGAAACAATGGTTCTTTAGTGGAAATCTCTCTATTAATCGGTGTAGGAGCACTTGTCAGCAGGGTTGTATGAACATCGCTTTTCCAGCTAGAAGCATCCTCCAATAGCCAAAATGGACCTAATTTCCATAAATCAAAACTAAGTAATGATTTTGCTGTGATGCCTCTAGTCAAAAGGTCAGCTGGGTTATTTTTGCCTTCATAATGTCTCCAGTCGTATAAATTAGTTAGCTTATTAATTTCAATTACCTTGGACTTTACGTGTTGATTCGAGCGATTGCCATTTCCGTTTATCCAATTCAGTGCGATATTTGAATCCGTCCATAAGTTAATAGATGAGAATTCGACATCCAAAGTTGAAACCAAAAAACCCTTCAACCGGGCAGCTATCAACGCAGCTTCGGTAGGGAAAGTTCAGATGACGAAGTTCCCTTCAAGGGGCTTACCCTGTTCTTTGAGCAAATGAATTTTACTGAAATCTCTCCGAGAGCACTTATGTCACGGATATAAGCCACCACTCCATAAGCTGATGGACTAGCGTCTGCAAAAATATGCAGTTCAACCCTTGAGTCGACGAATTTGATCAAAGCTCTCGGCATGGAGAATTGCTTTAAACACGATAAATCACTGCACCAACTTTGAAATTTATTAGCAAATTCTTCGGACAGCGGTTGATCCCAATCTACATTTTCTTTCCATATTCTCTGTAGCAAAATTTTTATATTGACCGTAAATGGCCCCAGGAATCCCAGCGGATCGTAAACCTTCGCCATCGCTTTCATAACACTACGCTTGATTGGTTTCAGGCATTTGACATACTGCTATGCGTCTTCTATGTCCACGTTTATTTCATCACTATAAGTATCCCAATTTATTCCAAGTACCTTTTGATTAATCAGCAAACCATCACATTCGCCAAGAGAGAATCGTCGTTTCAAATCAATATCGTTACTCTTCCACTTACGTAAATTGAATCCGCCGGCTTTCATAATAGTCATCGCACCGCGGAATAGAAGCTCGGCATCCTGTGATGACTTTACGCTCGTAACCAAGTCATCTACATAAAACGACTTCTGCAATGTGTCGCAAATCATGCCATAATTCGGCTTATTAAATTTCAAGTGCGTTTGAATAGTGGCAGCAAGCAAAAACGGGCTAAACGTTACTCCAAATGTTACTCTTGACATACGTAATTCAACGACTGGAGGCAATTTCGAAAACGATTCTGGTAACGTCTCGTACCACAAGAATCGGTGTGTATCTCGATCTGCTTCATCAATGGATATTTGTAAGAACGCCTTCTCGATGTCAGCAACTATCGCAATATGGTAGCACCGAATCAGCCATTAAATTCTCACCTGGGCTTAGATGGTCATTAAGGGAAGCGAGGTCATTTTCACTTGAGGATGCGTCGAAAACAATACGCATTTTCGTTGTTGTTTTGTCTTCTCTGTATACTGGTCGATGAGGCATATAATAAGCGATTTGATCATTATGATTAGCTAATACGCGCTCCGCGATTCCGGCATTAAGGAGTTCTCTGATACCGCAGTCGTACTCAATTAATTTTTCGCGATTTTTCATTAGTTTAATCGTTAGCCCACGGAGCCGGTTCAGTGCATTCGATTTGTTATTATGTAAAGTCTCTTTCGGAATCTTCCATGGCAAACTCACCGAATAGCGCATTCCTATTTTTTCGATTTTCACGTCATGCACAGCGGATGCGTTTTCATTATAAACTGCGATACCGATAGCTTCTAANATGGTTCAGTGCATTCGATTTGTTATTATGTAAAGTCTCTTTCGGAATCTTCCATGGCAAACTCACCGAATAGCGCATTACTATTTTTTCGATTTGCACGTCGTGCACAGCGGATGCGTTTTCATTATAAACTGCGATACCGATAGCTTCTAAGTCCCAAAACTTGGTAACATCAACTTGCTCTTCGCGATTCTCAATTATGCTTAACGCGCACTTAGAATTCTCATTGTAGCCGCAGCAGCCTTGTATGGTCCATCCAAAGAAAGTATCTACTGCCATTAAATTCTCACCGATATTATCGTTAGTACCCAGGTGAAATTTCCAATAGTTATCTTGGCCAATTAGAAGATTAATGCCACCAATTAAGTTTTCGCTAGATATTCTATTTTCGGTTAATTTTGCTTGCAAATGCATAAACGATTGACCCTCGAAGCGCGGCTCGGGTAAAACGTCCGCGCATATTATAGGCACCACGGAAGCACATATTTCAATCATCTGGTCCGAATATTGACTTTGCACTTTGACATTTACGCGTCTCAACCGAGTTAACTGCTTTCGCTGGTTATTTTCACCGAATGCAAATATGCGGGCTTGGTCGTAACCGACGGTTGTTAGTTTTAGGTAATTCGCCAAAGATTCGCTCACGTAGGTGCCTTGACTGCCATTGTCCATTANAGTGTTAGTTTCAGGTAATTCGCCAAAGATTCGCTCACGTAGGTGCCTTGACTGCCATTGTCCATTATTATTCGTGAAAGCACTCTTTTAGTTTCGCTTGACAAAATGGCTTTCGCGGTTTGCAAATAAATATCATTATTTTCCGGACGCGCTGCCGAATGTAATGTAGTGGAGGTACTATTTACCACCGCGACCGAACTGCTGGAGGTCTGATGCTCTCCCAACGGAGGAATAGCAGTTTCATATCTTTTAGTTTTAGCTTCGCACAATGGCGTTATATGTCGGCCATTACAGTTGTTGCATTTCAGCCATTGATTTTTGCAAAACTTCGAACTGTGATTAGGCTTAGCGCAACGATAACACCTACCTTCTCGCTTTAATATATGTTTTCGCTGTTCGATGTCCATGTTTTCTTTGCAATCTTTTATGTCGTGATTTGATCGTTTACAAAAAATACACGGCTTGCGAACTACATTTGTACTGGTATATAAGCCCACAGCGGTTCCGTTAACTATTTTTGTGTTTTTACGCTCTGCGTCGC